TGGGAGAGTGCGAGTGAGGACAAAACATACTGAAAAGACTCATGTTGGTACAGTGGGGATAGTACGTCGTCGATCTAAAGGTCGGGACAGCTCGTTAAGTGGGACCCAGGTCGTTACAAATTCTTTCGAAGCATTCCTGGAGGAAAATTTTGTTCCCTACTTCCCTTGTGTACTCTTTAGTAGAGGGACATATACTTTCTTAAAGAGAGCATCAAGAAACGACTTGGAATGTACTGTGGATAAATTTGAGTTTGGTTGGAGTTATTAAAAGGCTTTCCCTACCAAAACACACAAATGATTACATGATGAAATGAACAAGACAACTGCATTAATGCACAAGAAAAGTCTCACCCCTCTTACATTGAAGAGAATGATCGAGATGACAGCCTAACAAAAATAAATACAAATGTTGGAAGGCCGCGGCAACTGGAAGGCAACTTCTCTGTTGAAAGGCAGAGGTCTACAGGGAGGAGAACCGCCGAATGTCCGGTCCAAGTGTGTATAAACTGTGACCGCATCCGGATTAGCCCGGGTGGCGAACCAGAGGAGAAGACCGCCACTCCTCAGGATTAGACGGGCGAAGATTGAACACCTGAGTCATAAAAAAATAAATAAACACAAATGTTTGAAATGCTAAAGATGAGACAATAACACTATAAGCGAAATATATCAAGTTGAAGGCCACGTTATTTGGAGAGAACATGTGGAGGCCAACATGTCAAGTTGAAGGCCACATTATATGGAGAGATAAGGTGAGGCCAACTACTCAACACCAACAAATTCAAAGAGAAGCTTGCAGTGTGATATGTGTGACTCGGACAACTCTAACCCAACAATTATGGCAAATCAGATCAAAAGGAAATCCAACCAGACTACATACAAAATGAACTCCAACTATCAAATCAACCATATTATATGCTGTCCAAGCAAGATCAGGGGAAATCAAGCCTCACAAGTTGAAATTCATTCCTTGAGCAATTGCAACAATTGAGGATACAATCAGCCTGTAAATTCCTTTAAGGGATTAGGAAAATTGTATCAGTTATGGTAGTGCTAAAATTAGAGAGAGATTGTAAATCATTTCTGTACCAAGAACCTGTATAAAAGGACACTGCAACATACTCTCCAGCTCATGTTTGGCTGAGATTCAAATACCTTTCTTTCTTCTTTTAACATAAGGCAATGTGAAATGGCAGGGGGCAGTATTTCTATTCTTTACGGAGCAGGGATTGGTGGATGCGATGGAGTGGAACTTTAACTGCCATCAGCTGAGAGACATCATCACATGTGTGGATACACTAATTCTTTGATTTGGAGAGATGAGTTCAATCTTTGTATGCTGCTGGTTCTCAGTACCTTTCGTTGCTTTTAAAGAGTTCAATATAAGGTTAATGGCTTCAGTGTAGTCTGTAGACTCATGGTTACCGCAGACGTGCGTAGACAGTATTATGATGTCAACATTCCTCAGGACTTCTACCTTCATCACGGTCTTCTTATGAGCGTCAACCACATATTTGCAACTAAAATAATTTCAGAGAGCAAAAATTGCCAACTATATAAGAGCGAGCAATCTTTTTACGTCTGGTGATGATTTTGAAAAGTGCCAAAACATTGAAAGTGTTAGAGGAGTTGAGCATGGACGTTGGATTTTTGGGTTCTCAGTTAAGTTATCTTGTCTTGCTACAAAGTTGAGAGTAATAACAGAATTAAAGAGGTACACATAAGCTAAACGTGAATGAGGTTGCTTGGAGGAGGATATTCAGACTGTAATTAAGACCAAGACTAAGGGAGCTTAAAAAAGCAAGAAGGAAACTTAAGATGAAATAGAGATTCTTGAAGCAGCGATTCAAATATACGAGCGCATATCCGAAGAAGAAGCTAATAGCTCGTGTCCCGAGATCTGAGGCAGTGAAAATGTTTATGATATTATTTATAATGGTCAGTTTAAATGATTATCGAATATCCACAATGATTTTGGCTTCATTATCAAGTTCACCAATGTCTTTTATGTAGTCTACTATAGTGTAGAGGTAATGTAGCTAGAGATATTACACTTACATGTACATTTTTCTATCCTAAAAAAGAATGAAAAATAATTATATGTTAATGGTTTTATCGAACTAGTATTGCGTGAGGGAACTTGAAGTCAAATTAATTGTACATTGGTTTCAAGAGTGTGAAACTACAGCCTGAAAACTAGGAATTTGAGGCCAGATTTTGGACACAAACTGGTTTGTAGACATTGATTCCGAATGTTATAGCTAATGTGTGGTTACAATGTCAGTCCCAACATTGTTTCTGCTTTATCGAGGTTTTCTACTTTGAACTTGCAATATTTATTATTGTGTTACAGTTTTTTTCATTTCTGATTTTTTGTGAAAAAAGAAAAAATTGTTTGATGTATACCATTCCTCCGTTCTCACTATATCAATTATCTTATAGTGATTTAGGCCATTTGAGATAGCGGTTTTTCTTTTTTGTGATTGCAACGTGTCATTCAAATTTGAGATTGATCGTTCTATGTTCATTACTTCACTCTATAGGGATTTTGATTTTTCTTTCTCTTGTCGACAGGAGATTTCTCGTTACTTTTTGGAGGCTATTCCTTCTAATATTTGTTTCGGATTATATTTATTTCTAAATAAGGCGGTACAATAACAAACTTAGAAGTACACATTTAATACTACTGATTTTAATAAAGCTAATATTAACATATACAAGATCAATTTTATTTTATCAAGATAATGAATTTGCTCATAAACAATTGAGTATGAAATAAGTATAATGTTTCTACATTGTCATTTTTTACACCACTACTAAAAAAAAAAAAGATGACAGTATTCACTTTAATAGCCCGGGAAAATTGGTGGCGGTGGGGATGCGTACTGGAAGCCCAAATTTGGTGGGAGCGGGGTGTCGTCAAATGTGGTTGGTGGTGACGACTCCACAGGAGCTGGGGGTGGCGGAGACTGCATTGGAGGAGACAAGACTAGAGTCGGTTGTGGTGGTGGTGGTGGTGGTGGCTGTGGCGGGGAGAAAACTGGTGGAGGTGGCGAATGGGCTGGTGGTGGGGTTAAAACAGGTGGAGGTGGTGAGTGGACTGGTGGTGCGGAGGAAACTGGTGGAGGGGGTGAAGAAACTGGCGGAGGGGGTGAGTGGACAGGAGGTGGTGGGGAGGAAACTGGTGGAGGTGGAGAATGGGCAGGAGGTGGTGGGGAGAAAACAGGTGGAGGTGCTGAGTGGACTGGAGGTGGTGGCGACTGAACAGGTGGTGAGGGTAATGGCGGGGAATTCTGTGGTGGTGGAATTGATTTTACTGGGTCTGGAGCAGGTGCTGGTGAGTGATTTGGCTTAGAAGGTTTGGGTGTTGGAGCTAATACTGGGGTTGGACTTGGCGAGTGGACAACTAGTGGTGGAGCCATTGATTGAACAGGAGGTGACGAGGAAACTGGTGCTTGGGGTGATGGGGTGGAATTTGATGGTGGTGGATTCTGTTTCACCGACTTAGAAGGTGCTGGTGAGGGAGATGGCTTAGAAGGTTTTGGTGTTGGAACTGGTTTTGGACTTGGTGGGGGTGGAGAAGAAGCCTTTGGTGGTTGTGGAGGCTTTGATTTTGGACTTGGCGGTGGTGGAGACAGAACTTGTGGAGGTGGAGGGGGTGAGGCAACTGGTGGGGGTTTGGTGGTGGAAGGTGGAGAAGAAGCCTTTGGTGGTTGTGGAGGCTTTGGTTTAGGACTTGGCGGGGATGGTGAAGAAGGCGAAACCTTTGGTGTCTCGGGCTTTGGTAACTGTGGTTTTGGTGCCGATGGGGTGGAAGGAGGTTTCTCCTGTGGTGGGACAGGCTTATACCTTGGCGGAGCTGCAGGCTTTGGCGATGGAGTTGGTTCATGTGGGGGCTTTGAACCAATGCCTGGGTTTGAAGGTCTGCAGCCTGTAGCAGTGCAATTCACAGGCCAACTCAAGGCAGCCTTGCATACCTTTTCCGATCTTTGGTTCTTTCCTGGGAAACAATTATTTTTGTCATCCACGCAAAGGTCTTGCACTGCATTGGGTTCGCACATTGGATCCTTGGCCGTAAAGTAGTTGGAAGAGAACGAGAAATTCTTCAAATTTGGTAAGCTGCAAACTGTTTCAGGGACATTTCCTCTGAACATGTTGTTTGAAATTTCTAAGGTTTCTACTTGCTGCAGATACTCCAAACCTTCAGGCAGGTCTCCAATTAACTTGTTGCTGCTTAAGTCAATAATGATTGTGCCATTCAATAGTGTAATTTCCTCGGGCAAGCAACCGGAGAAAACATTGTTCGAGAAAAGAACCTCCTCCATTGTGTTACCCATTTTGCCAATGCTGGTTGGAATGCATCCAGTGAATTTGTTATTGGCAATCACAATTACTGACGCTGGGGAATTGCCAAAGCTTTCGGGGATGTTGGAGTGGAATCGGTTGTTGTTAACAAAAATAGCATCAAGGTCCTTGTGGAAGAGTTCGGGAGGCAAAGCCCCTTCAAAATCATTGTACCTTATATCGAGGTATTTGAGAGTGGGTAAATCCAAGACAAACTTAGGGAAAGATCCAACGAAATGATTGTTACTAACATCGAGCTCGTAAAGAAGTTTTAATTTAGAGATGCTCTTTGGAATTATTCCACAAAACCTGTTGGAATTCAGATGAATAAGGCTAACATCGGCTAGAAGCCCGATGTCAACAGGGAGATGTCCTGCAATGTTGGCATGATTCAAATCGACACCAGCAACCACGGTTGTTTTGGGATCGTCTAGCGCAGGTGCACAGAATACACCCGTGTAGGCGCAGACATCAGGGCCATCCCAATTAGCCGTAAATTTTAATGGATCAGAATAGATGGCTTTCTTCCACGCCTGGAGGCCAATATAAGCTTGTCTTAGCTTTGAATTCTCAAAGTTGATATTGATATTGACATCGAACTCAAATGACATATCAACGGAAAAGTCTCCATCCTCAGGGAGAGTCAAAAGCTGGCGGCGGACAATATATGCTACCTCGCCATCAGTTAACGCTATAGACAAAGAAAAAAACAAGAGAAGGGAAAGGAAAAGAAAACAGGCACAGGCCTTCGGGTTTGCCATTGTTAAAACTCCCTAGGACAACCCCAAGGCAGCTTATAGTACATACGGACTGGGAGAAATGAGGATGTTATATCATTGTTGAGGAAAGGATTGGTGGAAAGCTATTTGTGGAGGTAGAAAATAGGAGCTCCAAATACCTCCGACACTACAGAAACAGAATTTCAAGGTATCTTCTTTTAGAGAAAAGACATACATGGGAGGTTTTGCTTGCATTCCGGGGGAGCTTGTTTCAATGAAAAGGGAGGAGCTAAAAATGTATTATGACCAAGTCTTCAAACAGATTGTAGCCTATTTCCAGCATATGATCAGTTGTGCTCTTTCTTAATGCTGTTGAGTAAAAAATTTACTTTCTTGAAATTACTTTGCACATAAGCAACTAAGCAAGAATAATCTACTTAATATCTTGTTTATGTCCATAATTTGCTTACATTTGGCACCAATTAACAATAAATAATGAAATCATGTACATAAGAGTAACATAATGTTAATATGGTGTGTTTTGGTTGTTAAGAATTTAGTCGCTTTAGATCTTTGAATAGATTTAATAATGAATTTTTAATGGAGCAGCAAAAAAATTCATATAGCCGATCTCAAATTTATGAGAACGGCAATTTTTTTGGTCTACTGTTTACACTCGTTTTCTAGTTCATACGTATAGTTTATTCAATTATTTTATGTAGCGATATTGTCAGATTTTAAATGAGCAGTATAGAATTCGACAACATGATAACAAATTCTCCACTGAAGAATTGATCTGGCCATCAACTTTCAATTGCATCTAAATGAGCATTTGAGTCTTCATTCAACTAATCTTGACATTTAATCTCAAATTTCAATATTTATAAGGATTTACGTCCTCAGTCAAGTAGAATGGAGGCTCAGGTGCTCCTTATAATATACAGAACAAGGACGGGAAGAGAACAGGGGAGCTGGGACGGGTGATGGTTGAGAGTGGGGGACTCAAATGTTACGACAAATTGAGTGACCATCCTAATGCTCATTAAGTGTAAAATGACTTTTTGGGTGACATGCAAAGGGCGACATCAAACCATTCTAGTAAATGTAAAAATGAGAAGTATCGAGGAACATAAAAGTTATCATTTGCAATAAACTCGTACACAGTATAAAGTAAACCGCCTATTAGGTAAAGATGAAACTCCCTGAGGCAGTGTAATTTGCAAAAAATTCTCGCATAAAAATCTGGGTTTTCTTGCTAATATACAATGACATCATAGAAGTTCTAGAAAATGTCTGTAAATGGAGCCACGAGTCACGAAGATCAGAATACAAGGCATAGAGTGAGTACTGTCGAAGATTTCCCACCTCGTACCATGAGTTAAAACATGTTGTCATTCTTATACATGCCTGAGAAAGCCGACTGTATTCCAAGGTCACAAGGCATCGATCCACCATTGACCTCACATTTTGAATTTGGAATTGCACAATCAGTGTTGTTTAGGTAAATAAACGAGTCCCCAGTGCACTAACCAAACCCCAACTTCTTCCAAAATAATCTTTGGAGAATGCCATCCTTGAATTCAAGAACCTTAGGAACACAATATATGATTAGTACTTATGCACAGTCCATTGCCATTTTAGGGAAAAAGAAAAGTCCCGTGCGATGGTTTTACCTGCGTAAAGCTAGTTACAGTGTTAGCGTCAACCGCAACAAAGATAGGAACTGATCGAGCTGCATATTGTTGTCCAGCAATGCAACCATATAACCTCCACACATTCTCTAAGAATGTTGGAAAATCATGATAATATAATCATATATCTAAATTCAGCCTTTTCTTGGGCAGTAACAAGAAAGAAAACTAAGTCGTGTCATTCTTGAATCTTCCAACTTGTCAACAAACTTTCTTTCATTTTTTTGCTTCGCCAGCATAAAATGAGATTATTCGATGATCAAAAACAGAGATTTTGTGTATGAACACATTTTCCCTTTAGCTACCATGAAAGTTCATAAAACAATGGTAGAACAAGAATATAACTACCCAACCATACTTTGGTACCATTATTTTAAAACTGATAGACCACAAACATGATATCCAATCATTTGGTGCATGTTTGGTACTCTTCTTCTTTGAGCACGCGGTCGACTATCCAGGCCCAAGGGCAGCCGCCACATAACTGCATCATAGTTGCAACAATAAGCCAATCAATTACTTTTTCTCTATTCTCGCTCTGCTCCCAACTTATATTCTTTCATATATCCTTGAAAGAGCAAGCAAAAGCTGCAAAACACAAAGGGAAAAATGGGACATAAACATCCTCGACAAAACATACACTAGACAGAACCAGGATCCCACCTCCATTTCATCCAAGTCATCCTCACTATAGTGCAATTTATTACCCATTGCATTCATTTCATCTTAATCCATGTGACAGTACAACCTTCATTGCATTTGGTCCATGTGGGTCATGTCCCAATAGAACCATTAACCAGCTCATATATCTGACCCTGATTGGTGATTACATTGAATTAATATATCATCATAGATAATAAAAATATAATCATTAGCTCAATATATGTCTCCAAAAGATTTATTATAGGTAAAAATTGCAAAACCGTCAGAAAAAAGACATAAAATTACTATTCTGGTGAGATACGACGTACAAGATTCAGACTTTTGAACCTCAAGGTAAAAAAGTTAAACAACAATGAAAAATATGATGCCAACAATAAGTATATCCAAAACGAGTCTGCACTCCAAAGACACGGGGTAAATAATTTTCAAGCACCTAATATTCTCCCAAATTTATAGATACAAAACTGAAAGTGAACTATCACTGACAAGCTATTGGGAGTGAATTCAGAATGATAACTTGCAATGGTGTGGCTCAGTAGCTCCTCTTCTTGATAGAATTCTGTTGGAGAGGCTCTTTCTCATTTATTCTTAACTATACCCGAGATTTACATCATTGGGAACTTTTATCGACAAAAATTCATCAACGTTTCCTATCCCTTCGATCAAAGAAATGTAAGTACTGTCATTGGGAGTAATGCCTTTGCTAACCATTTCTTTGAGGAGTTCCTCGGCGTGATACCCTTCTCCATTCCTGCATAAGCCTTGTATAAGTGCATTGTAAGTGAGAAGGGTGGGATTGAAACCTCTGCTTAACATCTCATCTCGAACTCTAAGTGCATCTTTCACATTGCCTCTCTGGCTATAGCCACTAATTAGGGTGTTGTAACTAATATGATCAGGTCGAATTCCCCTTCTTTTCATCAAATCAAGAAGGCTATAAGCTTCCTCAACCTTTCCATCTCTACAATAACCTTGCATTATAGTGTTGTAGGTCACTTCATCAGGTATTACTTTCATTGATTCCATCTCTTTTAAAAGTGAAAGAGCGCGCTCAACATTCCCGTTAGCACAGTGCCCATCAATCAAAGCATTGTACATTACAAGATCAGGCTTTATACCTTTTGCTAATATCTTATCCAGTAAATCATCAGCCTCTTTCATTCTTTTCCGCTTGCCCAACACGTAGATAAGTGACGTGTAAGTCACTTTGGTAGGTTCAATCCCTTTCCTTAACATTTCATCACGCAAGCTAAAGGCTTTCTTCGCATTCCCAGCCCTGCAATAACCATTGATCATTATGTTATATGTAATTTCATCAGGAACCATCCCCTTTGCTTCCATTTCTTTTATCAAATCATTAGCCTCTGAAACTCTACTTTCTAAGAACAGCGCATGAATCAACAAGTTATAAGTTGACACAGTTGGATTTATTCCCTTACTTACCATCTCATCCCTGCAACTAAAAGCCATTTCCGATTGCCCTTTATTACAATATCCATCAATCAAACTGTTATAAGTCACAGCTGTTGGAACCAATTCCGATTCCTCCATTCTTCTGAGAAGAGCAGATGCCTCCTCGACGTTGCCCTCCTTACACATGCAGCTAATTAATGAACCATAAGTATACAAGTCCGGCACAATTCCTTTCACTTTCATCATCTCATATACCTTATTAGCCCCTTCAAAATTTCCCCTCGTACAATATGCCTGAATTATTGTTTTATATGTTACCACATTTGGCTTGAACCCTAAACCCTCCATGTACCCTATGAACTCCTTCGCCTTCTTCAACTTCCCTTCTTTACACAACAAATTGATCATTATATTAAATGTGCAAACACTAGAATTTATCCTCAACCTAAACATCTCGGCATACAAACCCCACACCTTCTCTGTACAATTCAACCTAAGAAACAAGCTCAACAGTTCATTACATGTCTCAATCTTTGGCACCACACCTCTCTCTTTCATCATATCGAAACACATGGTCGACTCATCACCCCTTTTCAATTCACATAAGGCCCTCAACAACAAATCTAAAACAATTGTACTAGACACATTCAACCTCCTCCGCGCACAAACTAACCCATCAAAAAGCTCTCTATGAGTTGCAACACCAGAATTTATCACTTCCTTAATAAGTTGCAAAGCTTGTTTCGGGGACGGCAGGCGAGCAAGAATCGCAACCGCGAGACAATAGCATTCTGTGGTGAGCGAACTGGGACTAAGGTTTTCTATGAAATCAGTAATTAGGTCAGGGGAAGAGCGAAGATTGACAAGGGTGGTGGAAATGAGGGTGGGTGTCATATTTGGGGAAAGTTGTTTGATGAAATGCCACTGAGAAGACTTGATTGAAGAAACTACAGATTCCACGTTGATGGGTGGGGGAGAGGGAAAGTGAGTGGGAATGGGAATGCGGTGTGAAGCGTGAGACTGTGTATAGTAATGGTTGTGCTGCGGCGGTAGAGGCTTGTGGAACAGTGAGCGAAGATTGCGGGGGTTCAGTTTCATTGTGTGATTCTGCAAATGATTAAATTGGACAGGGCACGCACAGACAGACGTTGGTTTTTTGGAAGATAATATTTTCCGTATGCCAGTTTACAGATGACGCGGCGGGGACGGTCACCGGTCTAAGAGGCGCGGGACAGGAGATTTATGAAACTTCGCTGTTGCCTGCTTGTAGAACAATTGAAAATAGTTGTTTAATTTGACTTCAGGAAATAGGAGAAAATGACATATTCATTCTTGTGTGATTCTAAAATGATATTTGACTCGAAAATAGAATTAAAAAAATGTGAAAATATAACTTTACTTAAAAAAAAGTCCAAAATACCCTAACATTATCAAAAGAAAGGCTCCCACTCACGAATTTGGGCCGGCTGTCACTTAGGCCACAATCGACCCAAATTCGGCTCCCAGATCCGACTGTTGACAGCCGGATCTAGACCAGCTGTTATTTGGCCACAGTCGGCCCAGAGCACTAAATTTCTGGGCCGTGTCACGTTTTGTGTTTTCAGTACAAATTTTTTTGTGTTTTCAAAAATGGGTTTTCGAAAATGGAAAAGAGAACGCGTTTTCAGTATTTTGGAAAATCGAAAACAAAAAACGACCTGAAAACGACAAAGAGAATAGGCCCTTAGCAATTACAGGCAAGTGTGCACCTGTAGAAAATGCGACTGTCTGAAGGATCTAGGAAACTCATTGATCACTACCAAATGGAGTATGTGATGTCATTCTTAATGGGCTTGAATGAATCATTTTCACAAGTTAGAGGCCAAATCTTGCTTATGGATCCCATACCTCCCATTAGTAGAGTGTTCTCTCATGTTTGTCAAGAAGAACATCAAAGAAATATAAGCTTGAACATTAATGATGCTAGCAATAATGTTGACTCTATGGGATTTTACACCAGAAATGAGAACAAGAGGTTCAATATTGGTCAGATGTAGAACAGAATTTATAGGAAAGAAAGGCCTATATGCACACATTGTGGAATGAATGGGCATTCCATTGACAAGTGTTACAAACTCCATGGCTATCATCCTATCTATAAGGCCAAGCAGAAGGTAAATCAGATATATCTAAACAATTCACCAAAGTATGTTGCAAGTAACTAGGTACCTAGTGCTGTTCCACAACAGGTCCAACATGGTCTGGGAGATTTTATGCAAATGCTAAATCAGGCTCAGTATCAGTAGCTAATGAGCATGTTGAGTAGTCATTTAGCTCTGCCAAAGTTGAAACTGAAGTGGATGCACACTCGAATCAGATATCATGTACTAGCCTTTCAATCTCTTATAATCCTATGATGAACTCACTAAAATGTTGGGTGATTGATTCAGGAGCTACTATTCACATATGTTTCAATAAGTCTACCTTTGTTAACATGAAACCAATAAAGAATAACTTTGTCATTATGCCAAATCATTTGAGAATTGTTGTTGAGTTCATTGGAACAGTGAATGTTGGAAATCTTATACTGGAGGATGTATTATATTTGCCACAATTCAAATTGAACCTTATGTCAGTAAGTGCCTTAACCAGAAATTCAAATATTGAGGTCAAGTTTCTGCCTCATTCATGCTTCATTCAGGACCTATACAACCGAAGGATGATTGGCAGTGCTAAAAGAACGAAAGGCTTATACATTTTAAGTCATGATTCAGTTTATATAAATGATGTTTCTCAGAATGCTTTTATTTTCATTTCTTCATTTGTAAATAATGTGAATGCTCATGTTTGGCACCTTAGACTTGTGCACTTGTCTTTTTAGAAATTAAATCTAATAAAGGATCTGTTGCATTTGGTTTGTGATAAACACAGAAGTTCAAGAACTACATTCTATGATGTCTATCCCTTAGCCAAATAGAGAAGGTTATCATTTCCTTGAAACAACCACATGTCACCTAATGCCTTCGATCTTATACATTGTGATACCTGGGGGCCTTATCAAGTTTCCACACATTCTGGCTACAAGTATTTTCTCACTCTTGTGGATGATTGTACACATTTTTCTTGCGTGTATCTGATGAATGACAAATCTGATGCTAAGTATATCATTCCCAAGTTTTTCAACATGATTGAAACTCAATTTCAAGTGCTCATTAAATCCTTCAGATCTGATAATGCCCCTGAGTTACAATTTACAAATTACTTCAATTCCAAAGGGGTTGTTCACCAATTTTCATGTGTAGAGAGGCCGGAGCAAAATTCAGTTGTTGGGAGAAAGCATCAACATCTCCTCAATGTTGCTAGAGCCTTGTATTTTCAATCATAAATTCCTATTTAATTCTGGGGAGAATGCGTTCTTACTGCTACCTTCTTCATAAATAGAACACCTACCTCAGCACTACAAAATAAATCTCCTTAACTCCTTATTGCATAATTCCCCAGTCGATTACACTTGCCTCAGAACCTTTGGATGCCTATACTTTACTTACTTCAACACTCCTATCTCAGATAACTAACCAAGTTTCAACCCAGAGCTAAGGCCTGCATCTTTGTTGGATATCCACCTGGAATTAAAGGTTACAAATTGTATGACATTGTATCTCAAACTTTATAATTTTCAAGGATGTCATTTTTCATAAGCAAGTCTTCCCTTTTCATTCCATCACTCATCAACACAACACAATTGATCCATTTCCCAACTTTGTTTTGCCAAAATCCCTGCCTATCACATTTCCTTCTGATTCACCTAATTCATCTCCCATTGCAGTGTAAAATGATGATGACTCCCAAGAATGGCTTCTTGATCCCAATCCTAATCATGCTGAAAATAGTTTCCTAGAACCCACTGCAATTAGGAGATCTTCTAGAATAAGTCCACCTCCTTCATATCTGAGAGATTATTACTGTAATTCTGATCACCCCATCTCAAAACACATCTCTTACAAATCTCAATTTTACCATCAAGCTGTGAAATTTGATCATTAGAGGGATGCTATGAAATCTGAATTACAGGCTATGGAAATGAACAACACTTGGACTATTACAACTTGGCCTAATGATAAGCACTCTATTGGCTATAAATGGGTATACAAGATTAAATACAAATCATATGGGAGTATAGATCGCTACAAGGCTCGATTGGTTGCAAAAGGGTATACTCAACAAGAGGTGGTTGGATTTCATTGAGACGTTTTCTCCTGTAGCTAAGCTTGTCACTGATAAGGTTCTATTAGCCATTGCCTCAGCTAACAATTGGCATATCACACAATTGGATGTTAATAATGCATTCCTCAATGGTGATTTATTTGAGAAAATTCATATAGACCTTCCTTTAGGCTATAACAAACGAGCTGGGGCTGGTAAACATGGAGAAAAGATGGTGTGCAGACTTCATAAATCGATTTATGGTTTGAAACAAGTCTCAAGACAATGGTTTTCGAAATTCTCAAATTCTCCTCTTCTTCATGGCTTTCATCAGTCAAAATCTGACTACTCCTTATTCACTAAAGGGTCTGGGACATCCTTTGTGGCTTTGCTTGTTTATGTAGATGACATAGTCATCATAAGTGCTGATCATCAGGCTATTGCATCTTTGAACAGTTTCTTGCACAGTCAGTTCAAGTTAAAAGATCTTGGCCAGTTAAAATACTTCTTGGGATTGGAGATTGGCAGATCACATAAAGGAATTTTCCTATCTCAATGCCATTATGCCCTTCAATTACTTAAAGACAGGTTTTTTGGGTTGTAAGCCTGTTGCCTTACCTATGGATCCCAAGATTTGTCTGAGTTCCTTTGAAGGAGACCCTCTTGTTGATAAATCGACGTAGAGGCGTTTGGTTGGTCGCCTATTGTACTTAACAATTTCACGGCCTAATATTACTTTCACGGTCCATAAGCTGAGCCAATTTGTATCTCAACCTAGGTAGCCCCATTTAGATGTAGCACATCATCTACTACGATATATCAAATCCACCCCAGGACAAGGACTTTTATTTCCATTGCAGTCTTTTCAGTTAAGAGCATTTGCGGATGCGGATTGGGGATCTTGTCTTGATTCCAGAAAATCACTTCTTTTTCTTGGGGACTCCTTAATCTCGTGGAAAGCCAAGAAACAAGCTATTATCTACAAGAAGTGAGCTGGTTTGACTGAAACAATTACTCCTTGATTTTCATGTGTCAACTTCTGATCCTGCTACGATATTTTGCGACAATCAAGCGGCTATCCATATAGCCTCTAATCCTATCTTTCACGAGCGTACCAAACACATAGAAATTGACTGTCATTTTGTTCGTGACAAGGTCACTACTGATTTTCTTAAGTTGCTCCCTGTTCGGTCACAACATCAGTTAGCTGATGTTTTCACAAAAGCTTTACCCGCCTCTCTATTTTTTCCGTTATTGTCTAAGATAACTGTGATCAATCCCCATTGTCCATCTTGAGGGGGAGTAATAGAATAAGCAGCTGGAGCCAAAGTGAGCTGGGGACCAGTCGAAGCTAATTGATGCTAATCATCAGCTACAGTAGAATTGCATGAGCTAGAATGAGCTGGAAATCAGTTAGCTGATTTTATTAGTTAGTCCACATGTCTACAATGTATTGGTCTGTACAATCTCAGTTAGTTAGTTAGGTAGTTAGATTTCTTTTCTATTTATAGCAGCATAATGAAATGTATTTACTTGAATTTTGATTCCACGATTAATGGAAATCTAAGGACATTTTCCCTCAATTCTTCTTTTCCTGATTTCTTCCAATATGCTCGATCTTAAAAGACCTTATTACTCCTTCCAGGCTTCGACCAAGTGTCTTAATTTCGCTTTCTCTTTATTTGAGGCTTCTAGAACCTCGATTACCAAACGGTGGTGCTCGTTGGTGCAGTCAACTCGCCTAGTCAAGGCAGAAAATTAGCATTCTATCTCATGCAACTCTTTTTTCAGTTGTGCCACCTCAGCCTCAGAATTATCCAGTCTAATTTCAGCCTCGATCTTCTTCTACTCGTATTGTTCTGTCTCGACTCTGGCAGCCCTCACCTCATTCCCATACAGTCGGGTAGTTCTTAGAC